CCTCTCCTACCCCTCCTTTCCTTCGTCCCCTTTCCTCCACAGAATGCATATTGCCGCTTTGCGGCCCAAGAATCTTAGGCAAGCTCCTATCTGGGAGCTTCTGCCAGCATGTATGATAGAATTAGTTTAGCTACTAGATAGGCGAGCCCGCTTCGCCCGTCGTATATTCCGTTCCGGGATCTCTGTGGGCACGTGATTTGACGCACGTCCCACCTCCGACGTTAAATAGCAACTACTACTACTACTACTAAGTCCGCACTGCGGAGGCCGCAGTGCGGCCTCCGTGCTAACAAGTTCTAACACATTTCCACCGATCGCCAAATCCCAGATCAAAGTCATATAAGAAACCAGTATAGATAATAACAGTAACGCCAAATTTCTGGAGAGTAGGTTGTGCTGATTGGGTTATTTGTGTTCGTGTAACTTGTGGGCGGCGTGACAATATCTTAGAGCCAGCATGAGGTCGTATTTTTGTACTTTGTTGAGTTTGCTGAATTGACTGCTGCCGGGCAATCTCACTAGTTCGATCAAGCTGAGGGAAAGTTGATGATGTACTTTGGTGTGCTGGAGGACTGCTTGATATTTCAATTGGAGTATTTCTCTTTCCAAAGGATGGGGGAGGTGTCTGTGGTAGAAAAATAATATCCTGAAATGAGATAGACAAAAAAAGAAAGAAAAAAAGATAGCAATCAATAAGAAGTGTCCTAAGTCATATCATGCCTTTTCGTCTCCGGTAGAAGTTGACGCGCCTCCCTGATCGGACAAACACTCACCAAGCTGAGGCATAATATCCTCAATTGTCTCCTGAATCGAATGAGGGTAGCGCGGCGTCTACTAATGTAAGTTGGATGATGGGAAAAGATTTTGATTGGGCATACCAGGTTAGACAATGTATTAAGCCACTGGTTAAGCGAAAATGAATCAAGAATATACATCTGCCCAGTTTTCCGGATACGAACAGCCACCAAGATATCAGACTCGCATTCAAGGCAGAATTCTGCTGCCTTTTTTAAAAAGACCCCTTTTACGTCTGTGCCGCTGTTGCGCCTTTGCTCGAGCGGTCTCTGAGTGACGCTTCTTTACCCACGAAGATTTCTTGGACATCATGTAGGTTCCTGGCGGGACGGAATTATTTTGAAATCTCATGATTCGAAATGTTGAGGCCTGTTAAATATCTTTACTCTGCACTGAGGATTGTTGTGGTGGTCTCAAATTGAATAGGCTTTAAGTGGCCCTGCCGATACCTTTCTGTTTCGCAGGACGGACATGGCTTTTTGTCTAGTCCAGGGACACAGTTTCAGTATTCAGACCATAGCTTTTCGATGTACTCCTAGGAATTCTCACTTTTTTGACCACCCTCACTGACTCTAGTCATGACTTCCCAATAAAACTAAGTTGGTTTCTTTTTCTCTCTGTGTTTCCATGATGCTTCTACCTCTGTAACCGGAACCTGATTTGGGGGTGATCCTTATCGCCCTAGAAAATATGTAGCTTCGCAAGGTTCGTTGGTTGAGAGATATGCCCCATATTTGATCCTCGCGCTTCCTAGCTTGTTCGAGATTTTGAATCCGACTTGGAGCAGCTTCAGAAGCTGAAGAGGTCCCAGGTGATTCACACCTGTTATGGACTTGAAAATGCTGGCTTTATAGAGCAAGAAGCCACTTAGGACAACCATTCAGTATTATCAAGTAAAGAATTTCCGTTCCGCTCCTCCTACTATCACTTTCGATCTAACTAACCATGCATTGCTTTAGAAGGAGACTGTAATATAGATGTTGCACAACCCACTCCATTCCCTACATTCGCCCTTACTTGCCCATGATCCTGAAACGTGGCAGAAGGACGGTTCAGTGGGAGCTGCTTCTGGCGCCCCGCTAACCGTCACAAAAGATACTCCATTTAATGTTGACACAGTTAGCCAGCGGCCGTAAACGGCAGCACTTGACGCCGTTTTACGAGTCTTGCTAACCGGCAGCGGTATTGGCACCGGTTGAAGCTAATCCCACGGCCTCCCCTGGTAGGCTCTTGCTAGTGCCTAGATGCCTGAGTGCCTGGCCCACGACGACAACCCATGATGCTACCACCGATGAGGACTCCTTTGTCGCTCAACTACGCCTCATTCTCCTGAGGGGAGCCAGAAACGGCTCCCCTCGCGACCATCGTCTTCGCTCCGTTTCTATAAATTCTACGGTCTTCACGATGTCCGCTCGCCTGATTCCCCTCACACCTGAGCGACTTTCACATTTGCTGAGGATCTTGAATATACTGCCCCCTCCAGCTTAAGGGAAGAAGCTTTAGATTTGGCTACTTGTTTAATCTCCTTTCTATTTAGAGCCCTCTCCTTCATAACTTCTTTCGTCGTCATGCGTTCCTCCTCCCGACGTATCGTGTCCGATGAAGAAAGCGATGCCAGCACTGACTTACCGGATGTCTTCTCAAACAATCCCTCCGACAATTCCTTCAACAGTGAGTCCGAGCCGGACAACAGTAACAACTCGAATGGTGGTTCCGACAATGACTCGATCTTGGATGAAGAGGAGGGAAGAGAGCTTCCAGCGGAATACTACCTCCAAGAGGCTGATTGTCTCGATGCCTCGCTGCTCTGACAGAAACGCTGCAGCTCAAGGACCCAAGATAAGTTGGACGAGACACGGGATTATTGGGACCGGTGAGAGGCACTAGTTTTTACACTTCGATGTCTGTGCTAATAGTTGGTCTGTCTGGCCAGGTTCTGCCGAGATGGAAAGCATGATCCTGCAGAACGTTTCCGCTGGCTCTCTGACTCAGAGGAGACGGTCCGTTTCCTGAAAACTCTCTTCTCCTGGTGATGCGATCGGCGACGGGGTAAAAGGGGACGCCGGACCCTGGGAATTCAATATAAGAGCTCGTTGCAGACTTTCTGGAAGTGGTGGTATCTGGTTTACAAGGCCGAGATTGGGCATGGACTTGGCAAGGACACCATTGTCAAGATCGAGGATGTAAGCGACCAGTTTCCTGAGGGCTTTGGTCCGGGCTGACAATTCGCAGGTGTTGGCAATCGTTGCCAAAGAGAAGAAGCTTCTCCTTGGGTGCCGACCAAAAGCCACTATGTACATTGAGGACGTGGCAGAGGGATCTATCCGGCATTTACCTGTTGTTTCGCAGGGAAAAAAAACCCCGTCCAGGCTCGGGGGAAAACCTGCGAGAGACAGATACTTGGTAGAGACAAGATTTGTGGGCGAAGGGTCAGGCAGGATTCGAACCTACAGCCTGCCTGGTGATGTGCGCACTGGCAGGCTAGCCAGACTCAGTGTCCATACCACTGAGCCACTGGCCCAACAGCATGCCAGTATCAACACCTTCGTTCGACATTATAGTGTGGGCATTCACGTGGATACTCAGGCGATCGTACAAGGTCTACCAGCCCAAAAACAACTAATGCGATTTGCGGCTTCTATGAGCCAGTCCATTGATCCTCGACGGCCCTACAAGCTGGAAAATTCCAGCGGCGTTAACGATCTCCCTCGCGTACAGATGTTGCAGGGACATGTTCATGAAAGAAAACAACTCCGGGACGAGAAGAAACGGTCCTACGAGGCTACCGAAGGGGACTTTCAACAAACTTTCGGTGATGAAAAATTCGAAAAGAGTGAGAAAAAGCTGCCGCGACGCGCTTGTCGTGAAAACAAAGGCGTAAAGAGGTGTAAGAAAGACTACATGCGTGCCGATCAGCGCTATCAACGCGCGCTACGGGAGTTGCGGAATGAGAAGCAACGGCAACGCAATTGTCTAATATAAGAATGAGCAGCCAGTGATTGACAGCGAACGGCAACTCGCTGGGAAGATGGTAGATGAGGAGGTTATGGGCGTTCTGGAGCAAACGGGGTACATGACCCCACAGCATACGATGTTGATCGACACTGTTCTGACCATGCCGGGCATGACCGTGGAAAAGGAGTATCAACGACGAATTGCCGCGATCAATGCGGTCATTGTATTCTGTGACATAGAAGAGGGTTCACCATCGCGGCGGCCGAATCTTTCCCCGAAATGTGGTGCCACGGATGCTTTGCCGGCCATGCCTGCTGCGAAGAGGCAAGCCTGCTCTCTACCTGGTGAAAGCGAGAGCGCTCTTCGTCAAGCAATCGCATCAGTTTGCATCACAGCTCCTAATGAGAGACCAAAAATCTGCTGTCTCTGTCTCGGAAATCCCAGACCTCCAGAAAATAAGCGAATGAAGGTGTATGGCACTCCTGGATCCCTTAGCCGTCGCTTTATTGATTGGCACATCAAACGCTATCCGAAGGAGATGCGGGTGAAATGTGATATCTGCGATAAGGACTTTGAGCACAAGGCAAATTTGATGAATCATGCGGAAACAGTAACTACATGGGATCGTCTCTCCCGACGTCCGCACTCGGTCCCATCTAGAGTTCCGAAAGGAATACGAATAATATGAATTTGATTCTTTCTTTTACTCTTACCCCTAGATTCTGGCCTAAATGTCGTGTAAGTGTAGGAAGGAAGAATTCAATAGAAAGATTCATGATTTCAATTCATTTGCAGACACGCTTGTAAAATACAAATTCCAAAAACACACATAACAAATGCATAAAAGTAATAACCGATCCATGCTATGCTATTCACAAAACAAAAGAACAAAACAAAAGAAAGAAAAAGAGTCAAAGCCATATCTTCATTTTCATGAATCGAGAGTGAGCATCATCAGGTTTAATGATTCTTGTTGATGTCCTCGAGGATGCTCCAGGAAGGGCCATAATCGTCACAGACCCCCAGAATGCCAGAGCATTGAACTCTGTGGTCGTCCAGTTTCCCCTTGAGTTCCCTCTTTTCATTGCCTTGCTTCTGCTCAGATGGCAGGTTCTGTGGGAGTGGGTTGTTGCCAAGAGGGACATTTCCAGTCCACGATGGTTTGGTGATAGACTCAGAAGCATCCTCTCTCTTGTTGAAATCTTCTGGTTCAGGGCTAGGCTCCCTCTTTGCAATCGCCAAACCCTCCTTCGTTGCCTCTTCAATGAACTTCGATTGCCGTTCATAGTCTGGCGACCCTGGTGGAAGCATCACCACCCTCTTTTTCTTATCGCTGTTCTCGGCTCCATCTTGGGGCTGGACCAACTCCTCACTCGGTTCGTGCTTTTCCATAAGGTATGGCACGTGGCGTTTCTGGTTGTGAAACTGATTTGCATCATCGAAGCCATATTGTCTTGCCTCAACAATCGGTCGGTCGCCCATCCTAAGAGGATACCGGAGTTCCCTCTTTTGGTTATTGGGGTTCGCTTGCTCGAACTGTGGGGCGGAACAACCATCACAATAGTTAGAACGCAAATTCGAGAGATCACTATCCAAGAGACTACCCGAGAGACGTCCAGGGTCTCTTTGCTGAATTTTGCCTTCATGTGACTCAATGGCAGGCTGATGATAATGGAAGTATTGCGTTTGTATTTGAGACCCGGGAGTTGGCTGGCTGGCAAAGGCGGTGGCAGCCGTGAGGGCAACAAGTAGGAGAGAATTGGAAGCGACCATGGTGGCTTGCTTTATTTAATGGATTGTGGTATGATGAAATGATGAATTGATGAATTGATTGATTGAGTTGTGTTTGTGTTGGATTGTATAGACTGATTGTGAGGACATTGAACATGTTTAAATAGCATTTCCTCGCCTGATACAAGGCCATTTTCATCAAATCTGTGTTACTTTGACAAGCAAAGTCTCCATCTCAAAACTAGAGTATGCCTTGACTTCATCGTGTAGTTATTGTTTAAATTAGAAACAAGCAGCGAAGTGAATGCTTTTTTTGGGGCTGAATAGAACCAAAACCGAAATGATGGGCAAGACCCGTAGGCGCAGCCGCAGTCGACAAGCAGCCTTATGCCCCTATGGCCCCAAATCCGATCCTTTTTCGCTCTGCGCCTCATCAGTTGAAACTGCGACAAGATGAGATTAGTATTTTATCATTCCTGGTCCATGCATATCCGTCAGTTTCTTTATTTAACAATGGCCAATCATGGCAATCAGTGATCTCTTCATTTTTTGCCCCGCAATCTTTCTGAAAATAAGCATTTGGACCCTTGTCATGCCGTTGGTGTCGGGTTTAGAGGGTTTTGAAATATTTTAATGAAGATGATAACGCTCAAGGCAGTCGCCCTATTTATACGTCACTTCACAAGATTTACTTGACATTTTCGAAAGAATTCTATATTTCGTTATAGTATCATTGCTTGCTCATTTTCGTCTGACTTTGAGCATGCCAATGAAAAAGCCGACTTTGCATGAACACCAACCATGATGTTAGTTGACTGGTATATTTAGAGGGTCTATCAATTACTTGCCAGAACTATAACTAAGCGCCATTGGCTGGGAAAGACCGAGAAGTTATCTGTCTCCTGACTGCGGATGAATGAGGTTCAAGCTCTATCTCTTTCTCAATAACCATCTGAGCCTGGCCCACTACCTCAGACAATGGATATAACGGGCGATCTAACTCAGCACGATGGAAGTCAATAACCAGAGCAGGATTGAGCTCTATATTCCAAATAATATTGTCTGACCGAAGGTCTTGATGAATGATCCCCAAAGAGCGGATTTCCTGGATTGATCTGAGTTTCTCGCGGCGATATACGGTCCCCTTCTTACGATCTGTGGCACTGTCGCCTCCCCAAGCCATGAGCAGCATGTGACGAATCTCTCCAGCTCCATGTAGAAAATAAATGTTTGTTAAGTTGATCGCCCCCAGAAAAACGGGCACTGCTGACCCCTGTGCTCTCTTTAGGACCTGGTATATCTCTGCTTCATGCGAAACCTCCTTCCACAGTTGAGAAGTGGTTCCTTTTCGGACCACAGTATAGCCATACGCAGCACAAGTGATCCTGAACGGCGCCCCATAAGATCCACGAGCACCGAAAGGCGTGCATTTGTGGTCCAAATCTTCGTCCAGCTGCTGTTGGAGCAACTGCACCAAGGTACCAGTATCGATACAGTGTCGGCAGCCACGTCGGTGCAGCTTGACATTTGGACAGTTTTCATCGAGTGGGCCACCCTGTTGCAGACCAAGCAGACAGCGTTGTGTGCAAAGTTGCACCGCATGTTCTTTGTATGAACCGCTTTGCACCTGTCGAGTCCCAGCTTGGCGTCCTGATCTCTGTGTGGGGGGGCATGCTATAACCTGACTGAACCCTCGCTTCCGTCCTGACGTGGCTTGGTGAGAATCAGAGTCCGAGGAGTCCATCGACTCTCTGTAATATGATGTATCCGAAGGTGCACAGCCAGCTCGAGACTGAGTGGGCATTCGACAGCCCGCTGGTGTGGGAGATTCAATGGGGGGGATGACGGCAGATACTCGAAACTCGTATATTCGGGACTTGGGAAATCAGAGACAAACCCGGAATTTGGCGGGGTCTGTCACAATTTCGCATCAGGAATCTGAGAACATGTGTGATCAAAATTCGTCTTCCATACATGTAACCGCGCCCGGGCAGCATTCCGCCATGCCTGGTCGCGAGGGGGCGAACGAAAGCTCATTAAGCAAAGACACAGCACCCCGCCAATGTCAGTATTCAGTCCCAGAAGGCTATGACCATCCCCTGCATTCGCATCCAGCTTGGGCTCGCACAGACAATAGTACAGAGTGCTTGGATCGTCATATGGGACTTGTAGAAGGACACGCGCCAAACCAATCGTCACATATGAATACTCGAGCCCCTCTTGAATCATGACATGGTACTCCTGAATGATTGCCGACCCTGCTAGCCGCTCTGCATTGTGCCTCAACTTCTCCGCTGCATCTGTTGGGATCGTGTCTGCTGGACCAGACTGCCAGAAGTTCATGGGCCGAAGTCCTGTCCGGAGACTTTCTACGGAAAGCTTGTGAGGTGGCTTATACTCGACCGTAGTGAGAAGAGAGTTCGTAGAACCATCAACTCGGTGAATGCAGAATTGATCAGGTCTGGGTCGCTGGGGGTTCGATGCTTCCGACTGGCCATCTTCGTCCTCATCCAGAACATTAGTATGATTATCGAACTGAATTCCACTGCCAAGCTGAAACTCGCGTCGCGCGTCAGGTATTTCACACAGTTTCTCAATTACATCATGCACATGATCCTCCACGGCAAATCGTTCATAACTCTTCAAATCCTGCTCACTACTGAGTGGCCGCCGGCCGAGGCCTTCGAGCTCAACAAGAGAGGAGAACAGTTGCGGTGCATCGTCCGCGGGCTGTAAATACCGACACACTTCTAGGCTTATTCCCCACCACCTGGTCGGTTTATTCCCGCACGAGAAGCGGTTTCGGATCCAGAACACCGTACAGACATGAGAAAAGGGGTAGGGCATCGAAGAAAGCGTAGAGGATATGACTTCCTTCGGGTATCCGAGCTCAATCTGAACGACCCCCTCACGAACACGCAGAACCCTCAACTCCCATCACAAATGAAGAGCTACGCGACTGATCCTGCCTGCCGTGGTCAATGATACTGCACTAGAGCGTAGTGGACGGATAGGATACCAACAAAGGCACCGTACAAATCCGACAGAGTTAGACATCACATCGGCGACTCCATAAACCCACTCAGGGATCAGGAGGACTTTCCTGAAACAGGGCAATCATCGGATAACGCGGCATCTCTCGAGGGGGCAGTGATCTGGGCCAGCGCCTGGGTAAAGGGAAGATAGAGAAGTGAAAATGCGTCGTCCGTCGAGGGGACGTACCGGGGCTTATATAGATGCGTTGAAACGGCAGGCGGGCGGGTAAAAGCGGCCAATGATTCTTTTCCTGAATCCTGATTTAATTTATGGGCGCTAGATTGTTTATGAATATGAATAGTGTTTTAAGGCACCATGCTACGCTATTGTAGTTGACATAATCCAAATTTTGGACAATCCATGAAACATAAGGGCACTGTTCTCGTGCTGAGTCACTTATCAGGGGCGAGGGGATCTGTTTGTGGTTATGTGCAGATGCCAAGTAGTTCAGTTTTTGAAGTGGGAAGAGGATAGCCAATAATTAGTTGATGTAGCCATTGGGTGATGGCTCACTCTCTATAGTGCACTCACCCGGGCTCACCTCTAGTCGCGCGACCAGCAAGCGGCATCACCCTCTAACTCACCCAGGAGGCACCCACTGAACTATTGACCGAAGTTAAGCCACACGCCGGCCGGTTAGTAGTTGGGTGGGTGACCACCAGCGAATCCCGGCTGTTGTATGTTTTTGTTTGTTTTTGCGAGTGAAGCGTATCTTTCTGTTTTTCTGAGTGAAGATAAATTTGGCACCTTATTGTATTAATTTATGGGATCACGTCTGTTTCTCACGGGTTGGTGGGGATATCATTTCCTCATGTTGATTCTGCCTATAAATATGTAGAACCCATAAGAAAGTTCCATTATCCTGGTTGAGCCCACGGCAAATTAAACATGGCCTATTAGTTATGTTGACTGTTTATTTACTTCGTCTTCTTGATCTTCCACTTCCTCTTGTCAAAAGCTGTAGCCCAGCTACCTATAACTAGATGTAGCATACAAAAGAACTCGTTGAAGAAATGTGTACGGAGCGGCAGCTATCTGAGAAGATGGCCAGATTGTCACGGTGGTCTCGTTCATCCATGGGCCCACTTTCTGAATAGCTTCAATCCGAGAGATGTCGAGACGTCTCGAGGTACTTAGTAGGGTCTAACCCTTTACACCTCTGCGGACAAGAAGTCCTGGCACTAAGTGCATGCATGTGGAAAACCATATCATGAACAACCCTATTCTTCTGGTTTATATACTCATCCACACTCCTCAATCGAACTATGGAATCGCTATTTATACTATGCGTTCATATTTTACTCTGCCAAGGGGGGCCTGTAGTTTTAAATGAAGACCCGAATTCCCTGTTCCATGCCCGTGCCTCCCCTACGTCGCCATGGTTGTCGAACGCACCGGGGAGGTGACCTCAACTACCTTTCTTTGATTGTGACTACAATGACTGCGCCAGGCTTTATTCACCCAATGACATCGAGAATGACTCGGTTGGATTGGTGTTCGACATGGCCACCAACAAAGCTGCCTTGATTGGTTGCATGTATAACCGAATGTGTTTGGGTGACCCTCGACGAGATTCTCGAGGCATGGCTGAACTACATCCGAGATAAGACACGTACGAGTTGCTTGGTCCCAGCAATGGGTCCTCCAGACGCAGGCGACCCTGATGAGAACGGAGGTGTGTAATACATTTTTGAAGGTAACTGACAGTATTCTAAGAAGCCCTTAAAGTGGCAGACCAGGCCCCTTACACCCATCCGTCTTCCCAAAATACCAATTATGAGCCGGAAAAGCTGTCAACGATGGCGGCCCCGTCCCCGTATTCCCCTGGAAGTTGACCTCGCCTTCCAACACCTCAATATCTCCAGTGTGAACGGTAGCATTGGTGGCGGAGCTGATATAATACTCCGGACTGACATGCACATAACCCATACTCAGCAAGGGCAGCTTAGGTACGGGGTCGTCGATATGTGAGAATCGATAGTTGCCATCCTGCGCTGTGATGTGTTTGGCTAGGGCGGGGTTAGCCACGCGTGGTGAGGCATAGGCGTATAATTTGGCTGAGGGGTGGCCTTTGGTCCGGATATCAGCTGCGGCGAGTGTGGCTACTGCGGCTCCCAGGCTGTGGCCTACTACGACCACTTCATAATCAGGGTGTTCGGACACGGTGTGATTCAAAGTCTCCATGATAGAGTCACGGACTAGGATCCATGAACTCCAGAAGCCAAGTTCCGCGAGGCACCCGTCGCAAAGCTTTGGGTCGGTGTAGATAAAGGTCGCGTCGGCTATCCAGTTGCGCACCGAGTACGAGCCACGGAAGGCGACGACGATTGCCTTGGTAGTTGAGTCTAGTGCGACGAAGCCGGAGGTATCGGTGATGGTGGTACTTTGTACGTTAGTATGCAGACAACGTTACCCGTGAGAGATGCCTTACTTGGAAAAATCGTATAGGATCTCTGTATCGGCCTGTTCAACCTGGGGACAGTTGTTTGCCCAACAAGTCAACTTGTCTCCAGTTTTGGCGACATAGTTGTCGTGACAATATGATGCTGCAGCATACTCGACCCAGAAGTCGAATTGCGATAACTCATCGGCTGGGACATCTAGAGATGTGAGCAATGCGCAAGAAAAAGAATGGGAGTTCATACCTCGTGCCTGCGGGTTCAATGGAATCGCATGGCTGCACACCGCCAGGAACGATAGGATGGCCGGAGACAGATGCATTTTGTGTATTGTTCTTAAACCGGGACATTATGGTATGAGTTGGGCACTCGAACGCCTTTATACCATCCCAATGCGATTGCAATGCTGCATGTGAAATGGTTCTGCAACCAGCCAGCCACACCTGGTGCTTGCAAAAGGATAAACATTCCTGGCTGCCATTGGACCACCATTCAGCTAAGCAATGCATTTACCTAGGCATATTGAGGAATTTTCAGCTCCATGTGACCAAATACCGACAATCTTTCGTAAATAGGCAGTGAAGATCGGGATTGTGGGGTTGGAAGGGCATTAGTGTCCGGGCATACCGATGAACACGGACCACAGCTGAGGTTCAGGTAATGATTCCTTCCTCTTTCTCTGGCAATCGGTCCGGTTGTCGGACTCGCCGTAGCCGTGTTGCGACATTACTACTCTGTAACTACAAGTATGCATTGGGTCATCTTGAATTCCGTCTCATAGAACTGCACTCTACCCCGTACGGGACTATGTGGAATATCGGGACTCTGGGGTTGAGAAAACACCGATGAAACCCCGGTAAGCAGACAAAACCGCCCACTTGGATACCCTTGGTTCATGATCTAGGACGATCAATTACTCTGCTAAGGACTGACCCCGGCCCCGAGTACGGAGTACATCGGAACGCGTCACGTCAACAGAAAGATTTGGGTATGGCAGAAAATTTTTATCTAACGGTTCTATCGCTATCCGTACCGAAGCAAAAAAGATATCCTTGGAAACAATAACAATATCATACACAATGAGCAACACTAAATCGGTTCCTCCCTCGGCTCAACCAACATCTCATTAACGGAAACATGTTCCGGCTGAATCAAAGCGTGGACAATCGAATTCGCAATATCTGACGGATCAAGGATCTTAGCCCCAGACTCCCCTCCATATTTCTCCACAGCTTCGGTATCCGTTGACATGCCCAATAGATCCGTGGCCGTGTTCCCCGGTTGAATGCTCGTGACGCGCAATCCCGTCCCCGCGGTCTCAAGACGGAGGGCTTGCAGCGTGGCTTCGACGAAGAACTTGCTAGCCGAGTACACGCCCAGACCAGGGAAGACCTTCCGGCCTGCGTCGGAGGAAATAGCAACGATGTGGCCACGGCCGCGCGAGACCATACCCGGCACGGTCGGGGCCAAGGCATTCAGGAGACCCTTGCAGTTGACATCGACGGTGCGCGCCCACTCGTCTGTCTGCGTGTTGGCCATCAGCGTGAAGTACATGACACCGGCGCAGGCGACGAGGATATCGACCGGGCCACCAAGCTCCTCACTTGCAGCCTGGACGAGGGCCTCGGTGTGTGTGGGGTTTGTGACGTCGGTAGAGCGGATGATGCACTTGGCGTCGTGGACTTCGGATTGGACTCTTCGCTTGACGGATTCCAGCGCGTCGAGGCGTCGGGCGCCCAGTGCGACGGCACAGCCCTGTTTGGCGAGAGCGACTGCTACCGCGGCGCCGATGCCCGACGATGCACCTGTCACCACGGCGACCTGGCCGCTGAGGGGCCCTCTGGAGATGGGCTTTGTGGAACGGTTGAGAGCATGCTGGCGAGAGGGGGGTTTGGAGAACCATCCTCGCGCGAACCAGTGCCGGGTATAGGTTTCCAGCAGGTCACTGTCGACCTTTGGTCGTTCGATGACCGCGCGGAAAGGCTTGGTTAGGGCGTTGTCGAGGACGACAATGTCGCGCAGGAACTCGACAGTCGGCATGCCGCTGCGAAGGATGTCGACGGTGAACGCGCCGTCGCCGCCCTTCGCAGAGCCTCGTTTCTCATACCAGAGAGCCACCCATTCGTCCCACGGGAGGAGCTGTGTAGGATAGCCAAGCTCGTTCAGGTTCTCAAAAACGGAGCGAGTAGGGACCGGATCGGGGTCACCAAGGTGAAAGACCGGCTGTGTGGCCTGAGTCTGACCTGCGAGGTGGACGATGGCCTTGCTGACATAGTCCACGGGGGTCATCTCCGCACGCCAGCCATCCACGTCGGGGGCGTAGCCGAGCTTGATCGACTCCACGATCAGTGCGGTAAGCAGATCCCACGCGTTGGCCGCGCCCGTGGTGCTGTGGCCACTGATGGTACCGCATCGGTGGATTTTAACCGGCAGCCCGCGCTGGCCAGCCTTGAGCGCGAGTTGCTCGGCAACCCACTTGGTCTGGCCATAGCCGTCAAGCAGCTTCGTTGGGACCTCGTCCACGGCCAGCGTGTCATCCTCGGTCCAACCGCTCTGCCCAGACGGTGGCAAAACACCATTGGTGGAAATGTACTGCACCGTCGCGCCGCCCTTGGCCGACAGGCGAAGAACCTCCCTGGTTCCACCGACATTGGCCCCGCGCAGCGCAGCATACGGGTAGACCAGGTTCACGGTGGCTCCGGCATGCACGATAACCTGCACACGACCCGCGAGGTCATCGAAGGCCTGAGGCGACAGACCGAATCGGGCTCTGGAGAGGTTTCCGGGGAGCACCTCGACGCGCTCCATGATCGAGTCGCGCCACAGGCCCAGGTCCAACAGGTTCCGGCGGATACGAGCGACTCCTCCAGCCTGGTCGTCATCTTCCGGGTCGTTGAACCGCACCAGACAGATAATACGAGCCGAGGTGTTTTCCAACAGGTCGTTCAGCAAGAAGGCACCCAAAAACCCGGTCACACCGGTCAGAAGCACCGTTTCGGCTGTAGCGATCGATGTGATTTTAGCGTCCGACGAGGGTTTGATATCGTCATCCAGGGTAGCATCAGAAAGCAGGACCGCCGGGAGATCTGCTTGCACCGCTGCGGTGTGTCCGTCCCTGACTGCACGCACAGTTTCCAGGTGGCCAGTAAGGGTCGAGTTGTCTGCGAGACGAGGAATAGGCACACGGAAGCCGAAATGTCTGGAGAGCCTTGCGGACAGATCCGCCAGGGACAAGGAATGTCCACCTAAATCAAAGAAGTTGTCTTCGGGCTTCAGCAGGGCCTTTGACGTTTTCAGGACAGCTGCCCAGATCGCTGCAACGTCAGTAATACCAATGGGATCTTTTGGCGTGGCGCTGCCGCTGGCGCTGCCGCTGCGGGGTGGGGGAAGGCTCTTGAGATCGACCTTGCCGGAGACATCGTTGGTAGGGATTTCCTCCATGGCAACCCACAGCGCTGGAATCATGTAATGAGCGAGATATGGCTCGAGGACACGGCGCGCGGCGGGGCTGTGACCGGTCTCGTTGATCTCGACCGCCGGGCGCTCGTCCCCAGAAGCCTCCTTATCGAGGACAATGTACGCAACCAGCTGCCGGTCCAGGCCGTCGCCATGGGCAATCACTGCGCAGTGGCTGACAGCCAGGTACTGACAAATCTCACTTTCCACCTTGGCCGGTACGACGGAATAGCCGCGGAGCTTGATCATTGCGCCCACTCGACCGGTGATTTCGAGAAGTCCCGAAGGTAGCTTTCGCGCCCGATCGCCGGTCCTGTACATGCGAGCGCCGGGGGTGGCCTCGAACCGGTCGGATGTGAACGCCTTGGCGGTTGTCTCGGGGAGGTTCAGGTACTCCCGCGCCAGGAGCGCGCCTCCGATGTAGAGTTCTCCAGATATCCCCTCCTCGACCTCTTGTCCACTCTCGTCCAGAATATAAGTGTGTGTGGGGTCCATCGGCGGGCCCACGGGGCAGTACAGGGATTCGACGTCCATCATCTCGCGGATATCTCCGCATGCAATCTCATGCGTTTCGCAGGCACTGTAGCAGTTGAGCAGACGGGTGCTGGGGAGAGCCTTGATGGCGCGACGGGCCAGATCTGTCGTCACGACCTCACCGTTCAGCCATAACGTTCGCAGGTCGGGAAGACGAGTTTCAATGTGCGGGTAGCGGGAGAGAATGGTGGTCAGGAGGGTAGGAGTCATGAGCGTCTCCGTCACCCGTCTGCACGCGAGCAGGTCCACCAGCGCAGCCGGGTCGTAGCTCACATCGTCGGGGACGGCAACGACGGTGGCACCTCGCAACAGCGGACGCAGCATCTCCCAGATGAAGAACACATTGCACGCGACCCGGTCCCCAGGCTGCTGATCCTGCACGGCAAACCTCAGGTCGTACGAGAGCACGGGGGCGCGCTGCGGATTGGCAATGCCCTTCGGCTTGCCCGTAGTCCCCGACGTGTAAGACACAAAGGACAGGCGGTCCAGGTCATCACCGGCCGGTAAGGGAGCGGGCGCCTTGGCGTGGCCGTTAGCATCGGCCGCGGGCTCATCGACTGTGATCAGCGGGATGTGACTAGCTTTGATCTTATGGGCATCGGGCCGATGGGTGATCACGACCGCGGGGTTGGCGTCTTCCAGGACATCGGCCAGCAAGCCTGCGGGGTAAGCCAACTCCAGCACCAAGAATGCGCCTCCGGCACGCAGGGCAGCCAAGCAAGCGATCACGTAATGGGCGCTGCGAGGCAGAAGTACTCCCACGAGAGTATCCCGGCTGACTCCATACGCGCGCAGGCGGCTGGCAAGAGCATCGACCTCGGTGTCTAGCTCGCCATAGGTATACTTCGTGGACTCATCCTCCAAAGCAACGGCATTGGGGGTGGCCTGGACCTGCCGTTTAAAGAGCGTGGGTAGGTCTTGAGTAATGTCCAAGACGGTCATTTTGCTTCATTGACGGAGGATGGATAGAGGGACTGACGGGAACTGCCAGGAAGAACGGAACAAAGAAAAGAGTTTGCACTGCGGCGCCTATCGCGTCAGAAACCACCGGACGCTCTGGGAGCATTTTGTTGAGAGAACCTAACCAGGAACAGCGAATCCTTCGCGCATTGTAATAATATAGCCTTGATAGGAAATCCAGTCCCTGCCATTCCCCGCTCTCGTATAAATTCCCAACATTTTTGTGCCCTTTTTTGCCATCCGACATAGGACTATTCTTAGGGACACCGGCAAATTCTAATACTAATAACCTTTCCTTGGTTGCTTTTGGCCGATGTTATTCGACGTTATTATGTGGTTCTGACATGTGATATTCGTCTTATCTCCCGCTTCCCCGCGGCCGGGGCAGGGTCGGCCGTTGTGTTATGCTGTGGCACAGTGTACTGAGTACAGAGTACTGACACGTACCTTGTGCTTCTGTCCGATACTCGGGGTGACAGACGGAATTGTTGGTGCACGGCTTTGCGCCCGGCTTCGCACCCGGCTTTGCACCACGGCTATGCATCCTGTGTACATAGTTGTTCTGAAATATGTAACAACTGTTGTCTAACTCGCTCCCGGCATCCGCATGTGCAGAATATATATTCGGATAGCATTCGGCAGTGAACTTCTCTGCTTGCGAGCACAAGTAGTTGAATATAGTTATAATGTGTTATTCAGACTCATACCCCACTAGTACTGCCCAATTGTTTCTTGTCATGATTCTGATGGAGTTTATTATGTTCACTAGTTGGTTATGTTTTTCTCCAAAGAGTGAGCTAGCACATACGACCATAGGGTGTGGAGAACAGGGCTTCCCGTCCGCTCAGCCGTACTTAAGCCACACGCCGGCCGGTTAGTAGTTGGGTGGGTGACCACCAGCGAATCCCGGCTGTTGTATGTTTTTGTTTTTGCTCGTTTTATTCAATTTTTCCTTTCTATTTTTGCTTGTGCTTTCCAAGAGAACACACCAATGGTGGTTGCCAGCTGTCCCTTGTTGTAGAGTCGCGACTTATCAGGTTTGATTTGACTCAAAACCGCCAAGTCTTAGGTTCAGGTCCAAGATCTTGTGGTCGCGATCCAAGTTCGGAATCTTTAGCCAAACCTGTCATGTTCAACTCATTTATCAGGCTCCACAAACAGTATGCGTATCGAAATGCATATGGTTACCCGAGAATCCCCAGCAATCCCCTACCACACGGATAGCGAAGGCGCCCAGGCGTTGGCATCAACAGGGGAAACGAAGTGTTCAAAGCATAGACATACGCTATCATCATACACGAGACCGACAATCGTTAGCCCTGGTTAGCGTCGAGGAAATCCGCTCCCAGGGTAATCCGGCTGATGGTACGGGTCAATAGCCGTAGTCGACAAATTATTCCATCCGGGAGCCATTGGAGTATGGACAACCTGTTCACTAATGAGCAATGCAATTGCCGACGAAACCAATATCGAGGCCGCTAACATACCCCGGGCAATAGCGTTAATACAAATTTCGCTCGCAGCGTAGAACTTTGCATACTGGCCCATCAGCCAGTAGGTGGCGGGCATCGTTTGGAGAGGAAAACCCAACCATTTTTGTGAAACCCAGAACCATTAAAAAGACCCCTTACCCGTCAGGAGAATTTGAATTTCCGCCCTAAAGCTTACCATGTTTGAAACATATGCTGGAAATGGCTGCCAAGCCGCCGAAGCCGTCACTCCCAAGTAGACTGCGGCAAATCCGCAAATTTGCAGATGCAGATGGCAAAATGGCATCTGCGTTTGCGAATTTGCCGCGTCTACTTACAGGTAGATATCGCCAAAATTCGCAAATGGGTCGAAACTCTCGACTAGACTGCAGCAAATCCGCAGACGCGGATGCCATTTCGCCATCCACATCCGCAAATTTGCGGATTTGCCGCAGTCTACTCCCAAGCCAGGGGAAACATTGATGATGACGCCTTGACCACGAAGGTTGCCTCGCAATCTGTGCAAGATCAACAACGGTAAGAAGACAGATCAACAGTAAGGCTTGAGGGCTTATTAAATACTCCTGAACCAGCACCTGGCGAATAAAAGCTCCCTGTGATAGCCAAATGCCTGTCTGACTGACAGCGATTATCAGATGCCAAGTATCCAAAGAGACCTCGTGGGTAGGCTCTCCTGGATCAGTAATCCAGCGCAGTTGACACAGATATCAGTCCAGTCAAACTCGCGACTGCCCGCTGGACCGCATTCTGCAAGCAGGCCTCGTCGGTCATGTCTACACTCAATTTCAGGAGTTCAATTTGGGGATAGTTCTCTGAGAAATGCTTGGCGATAAGCTCGAGGCTCTCAAGATTGATATCTGCCAGTGCTAGCCCTGAAATCCCGTTTTCGGCGATTTTTCGGGTCGTCCCTATCCTATTCTTGATTTCTCATGATTAAACCAGTCAAGCAACGCCAAACACACTGCTATACCAAGGCCTCTGTACCTGAACCTGCTCCTGCGATAAAAAATACTCCTTCTAGTTGAGATGCCATGGTGATCGAATTGAAATACTAAAGTATTATTTATCAGTAGTTTGGGTAGGAGACGAGGTAGAAGATATCTGATAATCTCACGGTTTCTCAGAGTGGCCTGCGGCTTTGAAAACATTACAACAATAAGCTCCGAATGCTGTGAGTTCTATAAGGGCTTACTGATTAATGATGGCAATGTACAAAACAAGAGAACACAGCAACTCTGGAATGAAGAGAGGTCCACCGCATATGCAGAGATGCAATTCGGGCGTCGTTGAGAACAACGAGAGTGTTCGGTGTCTTGACGGAGCTGATAGGACCTGGTATCCTTATAATCGGGAATTAATGCTTCAGTTGAAGAACTAGACATACTGAACAAATATTTGCATTTCAACCAGTGTCCCCATTTTTTGCAGCCATGCGGCGGCAAATCCAGCAGATTTTTGATTAGAGAAAGCCCCTGGTCAAGAGGGTATGGAGGGGCCGCACTATCTTTAAGTAGGTGAAATAGCTTTTTGGCATCGGGGGCCAGAAATACCGCTAGGATAGTAAGACAAAACAAAGCAGCCGTGATGATGTACTTTGCCACAATTTCTTGTCATTTGCCCCCAATCGAAACTGAACTATTGGAAAACAAGAAGCCTCATTACAGTGAAGGAAAGAAATCAATTTTATAGTAGCCAAGATTATTGAGAAATAGGACGCAGCGTGCCTTGTTCGTGGTCTATGGTGCCATCTATCTCCCTTATCCAGCTGCCATTATCAGACAAACCCGCCTAATTCCCGATATCAATCCGGTGCTTGGTAAACTCCAGCTTACTAGCGCCGTGGCCGGATTTTGTACCTTCATGGTCTTAGGGGCACTCTAGAAATCTTGACTTTCTGTAACTACGGCCCGCAGCTGACACAATTGATCCATGATATCTTCTGGGTGAGCCTGCTGATCACATGGCCTATTTTCTGGGTGCAGCGGTAGACGGCTGCCTGGGCCGTTTTCTCAGAAACTAGCCCTGATCCAGTCTTCCTAAAAGCCATGGGGTGGGCTAATTTAATCACACCCATTGCCTCTGCTTTGGGCTCTGATGTTCACATGCATCATCCTGGGCCGTTCGCCTAGAATAGTGGCCCTGTTTTTTTTTTTTTTTTTTTTTTTTTTTTTTTTTTTTTTTTTTTTTTTTTTTTTTTTTTTTTTTTTTTTTTTTTTTTTGGCCTACTCTTATCTTTTTCAGGCTAAACATCAATTGTACCTGCTGATATATTACGCAGAATATTCGACGGAAGCGCTTTCTCCAGTATTATGGAGGATCTGTCTTCATTGCGTTCAATCGGCCTGGGTGACTAGTCTGACGTATCTATGTGATACTGTAAGGATGGCAGTGAGATGGGCTTTGATATGTCTTAAGCGAGAAAGAGATATCTGGAAGGAACTTTTCTAATCTAATTTTGATCAGGTGAACACAGGATACAAGGCTTGGCCATGTATCCATCTGCGGCTGCCACCCAGTTCTTGCGTGCAAAGAAGCTCGGACTTAGATAAATGGAGAGCTCGGTCCCATCTTTGCGCGGCGCAAGACTGATCCTAGACATTTCAGGTTAGCTTCACTCGTATTCCGGTCAATTAATTTATAAGGTAAACCCATATGCATGCACTTGTATATACATACTCAGAAATAAAATTCGTTGGCTTAGCTGCATTGGCAAGGACTCTTAATCACATTAGTACAACGAAACAGCACAAAGCTAGAATCTAAAAGTATTTGGCTCACTTCAGAATAGATGAATCCGCAGCTAAGTTGCAGTGACGGAGTAATTGGGCGACAATGAAAGAGTCCGGGCGTGGGATTTCCTGACACAAAACATAGAGCTTGCTGGAGAGGCTCTGGCGCAATCCACTCGCTCCATTGGCAGTTGGGGAAGGCGAGAAAGAGGAAGCCGTCAGCTCATGCAGAATTAGGCAAAACTCTGGACCTGCTTCTGGTCGCGATTTTGCCCATTCGTCTGGGTTTGTAGTTAGAGATGTCCATAGATCGCGGCATGTAGATCGGAAATCATTAGGACATGCGACAGAACCATTGAGATTGAGGTGTTCCTCCCAGGCATTAAAGTTCTTCTGGCCGTTAAAACGACAGCGCATGTATATTTTAATCCGTGGTACTGGGAATGCCGTTGCGTCAATTGATATCATGCGCGGCGTGAGACATGGTCGCGTATTCGAAACCATGATTCCTGAAAGATTTAAGATGCAAAAAACTCATGAACAGGGCCGCAAGCTGTGAAGATGCTGTCCATTAACTCCAGGGCTCCAGGGACATCAAGGCACGATGGGAGTCGCCAGTAGAATTTGCCGCTGGCTATCATTCGCTTCAAATCGAAACCCACAAACGCAGATGAGGAACCGCATTGGAGGCAACCACCCTGAGGATGCAATCTGGGCTCTAAATTATATAGGTATTTTGAAACAGCCTTCCAGATTTCTGGTAACAAGTGTAGTGTCAAATTCGAGGATTCATCCTCAGCGACCTTTTGTAGACTATCGACAAGATGCAGAGTCTGTGCAAGTGATGCTGTGCGTGTTCTCTCCGCATTGAACAGTATAATATTATTGATGAATCGCACAATAGGTTTTCCTTGTTGCTTTCGCTCTTTCCAGCACAGACTCAACTCAAATGGTGTCAAGTCTTTGGTCATGGCGGAAGGATATTGTGGCTGATAATTCCCAGAGCCCAAACTCAATGGACCAGGACCAAGATGAGGGCCGATGGTGTCCATAAAGAAGTCTATATACATGCCTATCTCTTTGGCAGTATAGGTGTTTGTATGCACGAGAGCATTTTCCAAATACGTCACCAGAAGCTGGCTCCATTTTGGATCTTCAGATGGAATAAAGGAGTCAGAATTTGTGAGCTGGTCATGTGGTTAAGTATAGATGTTTAACCAGGGCAATGTAGAGGAACTCACTAATTCAATAAGACCGTCACAGTTTTCCATCTTCAAATTTACCGGAATATAGAAAAGAGCAGGTTTGGGCAGCACTGTAGAATAATTTCCATGCAGCTAGAAAAAATACAGCAATCGAAATTATCTAGTCTTCGAATCTATGTACTTGGGCCTCAGCTGTCAGCTCTTTAACCGATAACTGATTCCCTGGGCATGTCCGCATAAGGGGATCTATACGAATTTACCTGTTTTACCAGTGATACAGATACCTGAGTACCACTTGCCTTGGTTACTGCTGTATTAGAATTATTCGTGTTTGCAAAACAGAAAAAAAGGGGTAATTTGACATAGAATTTCCAGATATAGTAAATGAAACAAATCCAACCTCATTGCTGTCTCCTAACTCACAATGCCAACCATGCTTCCAGGCCTGGGGCTTCCCAAAATCGCAATGGTTCATCTTATAGTAGCAAGAGGCTGTTCACGCCAAGACATGGGGGTTGTGAATTATTGTAAGTAGTCAATGGGCAAGTGGCCACCAAGCAGAAGACTTGCAAACACCCGTGGTACAAGCCATATATTTCTCTTAGTTTGTAATAACTAACACATACGACCATAGGGTGTGGAAAACAGGGCTTCCCGTCCGCTCAGCCGTACTTAAGCCACACGCCGGCCGGTTAGTAGTTGGGTGGGTGACCACCAGCGAATCCCGGCTGTTGTATG